GAGAGAATGACCCACATTGACATCTGATCACCCTTCATATCTTATCAAATTCCTTATCCTTTACACTTCATATCTGATCACAATGGCCTGCCTTCAGCAAGAATCTCATTAAGTGGGTTTAGCAGACGCCTCCTATCCTTGATGGCTCTCTGAGTAATTTCCATCCACTGACCCACATATTCTGCTCTTTACTCTAAATCCCTATGTGATTTGCTATTTCCTGGGTTGAGCCTGGTCACTAAGGGGACCATTATGTTTAAAAAATAATTGAGTGCACATATACATATACACATAAACACATGCCAACATAAATGCATGCAAGCACACATACATATATATAACACATAAGTGTACAACAGGTACATAAACATGCATGTACATAAACTAACATCCGAAAGACATGACAGTGAGGGGACATTTTATTAATCAAATCTCATATTTAAGTGTCTAGTTTATATTTTCTCAGAAAATAAAGGAATATACTGAGAGAGGTACATGGATGGACTACGAGTATCTTAAATGTGGACTGAATGATGTAAATCTCAAAGAAGACTCAAAGGAAGGATACCAAGATGTCTTTGGAGAAGGGGATGAGTTTTGTAAACAATGTATGTAGAAATAGAGCCTTTTTTATTTTTAATGCATAAACACATCTTTAATGTTTGAATGCTTCTAAGGATGGAGAATTGTTACTTTTGTGCTTTGTTAAATGATTCACATATTAATGTCCAAATACATCAAATGATTGACGTTCCATTAATGCGAAATGTTTGATATTTCTCTGCATGCTCACACAATATGTACACGGTTGTAAATCAAACTTTATTGACTTAAATTCAATTTCCCCAATTAATGACTCATTGAGGGAAGATTATTTAACCTTCTGGACATTGATTGAAGATTATTTAATCTTCTTTACATTATAAAATTACAAATACATTATGCCAGATTTTCTTAAATGCTTCAAATACTTGAAGAAACAAAACTCCCCAAATATCACAGTAATTAGCAACCTAATTGTTGAACACACTAAAACTCTTTCTGAAAGTCTTAGTGCCTGGATTTATTTGTAACACTTATTTTTAATTGACACATAATAATTTTACATATTTATGGTGTACGGGCTAATATTTCGAGAAATGTACACAATGTGTAGTGATCAAATCACAGTTATTAGCCTATTCATAACCTTAAACATTTATCATTTTTCTGTATTGAAACAATTCAAAGTCCTCTCTTCAGTCTATTGGAAATATTCAATAAAGTATTGTTAACCGTAGTGAGCCCACGATGCCACAGAACACTAGAACTATTCCTCCTACCCACCTGTAATATTGTAACTGTTAACCAACCCCTCCTCAAAATTGACATGGAGTTCAACCAGCATCAGCAGCTCAGCCAGGAGGCCAGAGGGCTTAAAATCCCACTTACGTCCCTCCCCCAGGTTCAGGCCTCCTCACCAGGGAGCTGGTAGAAGGTGTCCTGTCTTCCTGGATGCATCTGTCTGCAGTGGAGTTTACATCATGCTGAGCTGGGATGTGGAAGGAAGGAAGAGCATCTTAGATCAAATACGATGACTGGCCTTACTGAGTTTTCTAGATTTTCTTGAATAAATGTTTCTTCACTTACTCTATGCTGATAGAGCCTTTCCAAACCCTGTAATTTTTCAAAATAATTTTCACTGGTGTCACGAGGGCATGGATTCATTGAGCCCCTCATGCTGTCGAAGAGAAATAGAACTGCTTTGTCTTCACTTTTTAGGGAACACAGCCATGGGTTATAAAATAATGAGTTGACTTTTCTTCCAACACTTTACAGATACCGTGAATTTTCCTGTTGCCTGTAAGGTTTTAACCAGAAGAAAGCTGTCATCATCTTTTCTGTTCTTTTGGAAGGAACGCGCGCTCTACTCACCTCCACGTGTCTGGTGTATTTCTATTTGTCTTTGCTTTTCAGCAGTTTTAATGAGATTTACCTAAATATGTGTGTGTGTGTGTGTGTGTGTGTGTGTGTGTGTGTGTGTGTAGGCGTTGGGGGAGGGGTGTCATTCTGCTTCTGTGTTCTCTGAGATGCACGGATTCACGGTTTACTCTGTCTCCATTTTGAGGAACACAATTAGAATAAATGTCAGTGTGAGCCCAGAAACGAGCCTCCCTGAAGGGGGAACACGACCACCTGGGGGCGCTCAGGACCCACTGAGCACCAGAGCCAGCCTCAGGGCAGGTGCAGATGGGGGTTAAGGTCTGGTTTCCTGGCAGCCCTGTGGCTTCCTCTCCATAAAGCAGTTTCCTCTGGGGCAGTTCTCTGGATTCTCTTCCTGCGAAGTCTCTGAAGAAGAAACATTTGTCGTAACAAGAGAAAAACTTCTTCACATGCACCAAAGACAGAGTCACCCACAGTCAGTTACTCCTGTTTCTCAGTATCAATAAGTTATCAATGCTTCTGAATTAAATCAGCTAAATCTATAAAAGATGCTGTGTTTAACTCAACACTGCAGCCCCGCTCAACAGAACTCCAAGGGCCAGTGGGCAGCAGGCAGGATAATGCGCAAGTCGTCATGGGGGCAGAGGGAGTTCACATCCAGTGCAAGAGAAGAAAAGCCCCGTGGTGGTCACTGTCAGGGCTCCAAGCCCGCAGTTCCAATTACAGATGATCCCATGCAAAGGAAGAGAGACCCTACCAATGTTCAGTGTGGATGTCGAGAATGACGGCTCCACACTCACACCCCAAGTGAATACGAAAAGATTTACCTACTCTATTACTGAGGTGTCTGCTGAGGGCAGCACAGGCAGTTCCGAACCGGAATTTCCTCAGTAGGGCAGGAAAGGAGGTTGTCTCAGGGCTTTCTAATAATCTGGTGGTGGAGTCGGAGGGTGTTTGTACTCAGGAGAAGGAGCTTGTGTGATTTAAATCTCACGCTGGCATCAGATAAGGGAGCTTCCATGATTTCTTACTAGATTTCCCATGTGTGGGGGAAAAGGAGGAGAAAGAATAAACCTTAATTCATCAGCAGGGAGGCACCAAAAGTAAGACCTGACACTTTATTCTCCCTAGCAGCTTAAGAAAACGAGAGAAAAAGAGAGACAAGGGTCCATTGTGTGTGAAAAGCAAACAGATCTAAATAACATAAAAGTATTTATTACTATAAGCGCATAATAAAAAGAAACAGAATGAGGAATCAGACAGGCAGGGGTGCTGAATCAATGTCTGGAGCAGCCTTTTCATTTCTTAGAATTTCATCTATAGCTTTCAGACTCTCAGGTCTCCCAGTTAAGACTTTTATCCATATTGGGCTTATTTTTTGTATACAGTGAGAGAGATGGGTCCAGTTGAATTCTTCCGCAAATAGCTGTTCAGTTTTTCCTGCACAATTTATTGAACAAAGTGACGTTTTTTCTCCCAGTGCTTGCTTTTAATCCAGTTTGCCAGAGTCAGTTGGCTGCAAGCATGTGGCTTCATCTCTGGAATGTCTATTCTGCTCCACTCATCTATATGTCTGTTTTAACAACAGCACCGTGTTGTATTTGTTACAGGACTGTAGTACAGTTAGAAGTCAGGCAATGCATTTACACCACCTTTGTTCTTTTTGATTTGGATTTTTATGGCTATTGAGGCTCTTTTAAGTTTTCATATGAATTTTACTTTTTTCTAATTCTGTTGAAAATGATGTTAGTATTTTGATAGGAATTACTTTGATGCTGTAACTTGCTCTGGGCAATATGATCATTTTAACCTTTCAATCTATGGCCATTAATTATTTCCATTTATGATAATGGGATGTTTTTCAATATTTTGTGTCATCAAAAATTCCCATTATAAGTGTTTTGTAGTTTTTCTTGTGGAGACATCTTTCACTACCTTGGTCAAATTAATGTCCAAATATTTTCTTTTTTATGGCTATAGTAAATAGTCGTGTTTTTAATATGGTTCTTTGCTTGATTGTTACTTGTGTATAAAAATATTACTGGCATTTTTGTGGGTTTTTTTTTTCCTTTATTCTAAAACTTTACTGAATGAACTTACCAATTCTAGGAGAATTTTGAAAGGATATTAGTTTTCTAAGTACAAAATCATATTATCAGCAAATACAGAAAATTTTACTTCCTGTTTTCCAATTTGGGTGCCTTTATTTCTGTCTCTTGCCTAATTTCTCTTGCTAGGATTTCAAGTTCTATATTGATTAAAAGTAATGAAAGTGGGCATCCTTGACATGTTCTGAGTCTTAGGAGGCATACTTTCAACATATTCCTATTTAGTATAATGCTGTGTGTGAGTTTGTCATATATGATTTTTATTAATTTGAGGTATGCTTTCCTTCTATTCTAATTTTTGGAGGGTTTTTATCATAAAGAAATGTTAAATGTTATCAAACTTTTTTTCTGCACCCGTTGACAGGATTATGTTTTTTTGTCTTGAATTCTGTTTATGTGATGAATCACAGTTATTGTTTTGTGCATGTTAAATAGTCATTGCATCCCTGAAATAAAACTTAGTAGATTGTGGCATATTATCTTTTTGATACGTGGTTGCAATCAATTTTCTTGTGTCTTTGTGAGGATTTTTCCATCTATAGTCAGCAGTGATATTGATCTATAGTATTCTTTTTTTGTGTCCTTGCATGGAGGTGGTATCAGGTTGTTGGTGGCTTTGTGGAATAAGTTAGGGAGAAACACCGTCTACTCAATGTTTTGAAACAGGTTTAATAGAATTGCTAGCTGTTCTTTTTATATACTGGGCAGAATTCAGCTTTTAAATCCATCCATTTTAGGGCATTTTTGTTGAGATTTTCTTTTTAATTACTGCTTCAATATCACTATTTTTTGATCATCTCCTTAGGATTTTTATTTCTTCCTGTTTCAATCTTGGGTGATTTCATGTTTCCAGACATTTATCTGTTTACTCTAAATTGTCTAGTTTGTGAGCCTGGAGATGTTCATAGTAGTCTATGTTGATCGTTTATATTTCTGTGGCATCAGTTGTCATGTTTTAGTTTCATTTCTCATTCTGCTTACTTAGATTGCCACTCTACTTTACTTGCCTGATCGAGCTAGTGGTCTGTAAGTTTTGTTTGTCATCTCAAAAACCCAATCATTTATTTTGTTGGTTCTTTGTATTTCCTGGTTCTTCACTTTATTTCATTCTGTTCTGGTCTTTGTTATGTGTTTTCTTCAGCTGTGTGTTTGGTTTGTTGTTGTTTTTCCAGTTCTTTGATATGTAATGTTAGGTTTTTAATTTGTGATCTTTCTGTCTTTTCGATGTAGGCATTTAACACTATAGTCTTCCCCCTTAGCACAGCTTTTGCTGTAAACTGGAGGTTTTGGTATGCTGTTTCTCTCTTTTTATCATTTCAAACATGTTACAATATCCTTCTTAATTTTATCATTGACCCAAAGTTTACTCAGTAGCAAGTTGTGGAATTTTCATCTGTGTGTAGTTTTGAGTATTCTTCTAGGGTTTAATTTCTAGCTTTACATTACTGTGGTCTGAGAATATATTTCATTTTCAAGAAGTTTTTGAGACTCTTATTTCTGTCATAATATATAATTTATCTTAGAAAATATTCTGTGCTAATGGGAGTAATGTGTATTCTGCAGTCCTTAGGTAGAATGTTCTGTTAATATCTGTTAGGTTCATTTGGTCTAGAGTCCAATTTAAGTCTTGTGTTTCTTTGTTGATTTTCTATCTCAGTGATTTGCCTAGTATTGTCAGATGGGCATTGAAGTCCATCACAATTGTGCTGCCATCCACGTTCTTCCTTAGGTCTAATACCATTTGTTTTATGAACATGGGTTTTCTGGTGTAGAGCGCATATAGATTTAGAATTGTTATTTTTACTCAATCGTTTTATCATTATATAATGAGTTTCTTTGTCTTTACTTACTGGTGTTAATTTAAAGTTTGTTTTATATGACTTAAGCATAGATACTCTTGCTCGCTTTTGGTTTCCATTTGCATGAAATATCTTTTTCCACCCCTTGAACTTGAATCTGTATGTTTTTACCAATTAAGCGAGTTTCCTGTCAGTGGCATAAATTAGAAACCTCTTTTTAATTCATTCCACCAATCTATATTTTTTAAAATGAAGAATTGAACTCATTTATATTCAAACAATACTGATATGTGAGGTTTTGCCACCAATCTATATTTTTTAAGTGAAGAAGTTAACTCATTTATATTCAAACAATACTGATATGTGAGCTTTTGCTGCTGTTGTCATGTCATTTGTTAACTAGTGGCTTTGTGGTCATTATTGTGCAGTAGTGTTAACAGTGAGTTTTATAATTTCGTGTGTTTTATGACGGTGAGTATTGTCCTATTGCTTCTATGTTTATGTCTGCCTCGAGTATTTCTTGTAGGTCCAGTCTAGTGTACATAAATGTCCTTAGCATTTACTTACCTTAGAAATACTTTATTTATCCTTCATTTATGAAACTGAGTTTAGCAGGATACAAAATTAATTATTGACATATACTTTTTTCTTTTTTTCTTTAAGAAGTCTAAAATTGGGAGTCCAATCTCTTCTATCTTATAAGTTTATGCTGAGAAGTACACGGTTAGTACAATAGAATTTCTTATAGATTGTTAAACACTTTTCTATTGTGAATTTTAGAATTTTTTTTTCTTCCTATTTACTTTAGATAGTCTGAGGACTGTAGATCTTGGTAATGTCTGTCTTCCAGTGTCTTGTCATGGAGTTTTCTGTGCCTCTTTTATCTGCATGTGCAAATCTGTAGCAAGACTAGAGATATTTTCTTCAATTATTTCATCAAATTGTTCTTCTAAGCCTTTTTACTAGTTTTCTCCCCCAGGAATATCCATGGTTCGTTGGTTCAGTTGTTTTACATAATCCTGTACTTCCCAATGAGTTCGTTCATTTCTTTTTCTTATTTTTATCGGACTGGGTTAATTTGAAATGTCTGTCTCTTAGGTTTGATGTTCTTTCTTCTTTTTAGTGTATTTTATTGTTAAATTTTTAAACTGTATTTTGTAATTAATTCAATCAAGTTTTTATTCCCTGAACATTATTTTTTAAAAACAAATCTCTTAGGTCAGTCTTGAGTTCTTCTGATTTATTCGTGTTGGTTCTCAATTTTCTTTTGGATTTAATTGAGTTTCTTTAAAATCAACATTTTGAATTATTTATAAACATATCATGTTGTTTAGATTCTATTGCTGGAGAGCTAAGGTGATATTTGAGGTGTTGTAACTGTGTTTTTTCATACTTCTAGAATTGCTGATCTGTTTGTTTTTCATTGGCTAAACTATCTCTTCTTATTATTTCTGAATTTATTTTGATTTTGATGAAAATTCCATTCTGTTGAGTATGTGAATATAATGCATATTGTGTGGGTCTTTTGATTTGGTTCTTGGTTTACTCAGTGGCAAAGACTCTGTAAGAGTTCCTTGTCTATAGATGACCATTATTTAATGGCTTTCAGAAATGATGGTTGTAGTAACAATGTTCTGGGCCCACGAGCAGGCTCACTGGCTCCTGCAGGTCCTAGATATTGGAAGCCTCAGGAACTATTTCCCATTTGGAATGCATTTGTTTCAGCAGATATTGTATTGGCTTGTTAAGTTCACCCTTCACATTAGTAGATGGCCTTACAGGTTTGAGCTGACTGTGGCGGACGCAGCTGAGTGCATGTTTGATATCTGTGCACAGGGAGAAGGCTCCATTGCCTTAGGTAATGGACTGGTCTGTGAAATGCGCAGTGACCTGAATTCTCTGTTCAGCCCTTGAGAGGCGGACAAAGCTGGGCAGAGATGAACCTCCGAGCCTGACAAGCAAAAGCACCAGCCTTGATGGGAATAACCAGGTGAGGAGCATCTACCCTGTATGATTTCTTCTGTTATTAATAGCTTTAGCGCGGTGGCTTGTTTGAATTCTAGTTGTGGTAGTAGCATAGTGGGCGTGTTAGTTGCCCTATGGTCTTTTCCGGAGCTGGAATTACAGAAATATTGAGAATCTAATCTCATTTTCAAGTGCTGTACACATGTCTGAGTGACTTTTTATTAGGTCATGCAGTTCAAACACGAGGCCAGGAGGTGGTGCTTGCAGATAAGAGCCGACTAAGGTGGCAGCAGAACGGTTTATGCTTTAATCATGGTTAAAGTGGGAATATTTGTCATGTTCCAGATATTAGAGAACATACTTTTAGTTTTGTTCTTATTCAGTATGATATCAGAAGAAAGTCTCTCGAATACAACTTTTTTTTTGGGAATCTCGCCCTGTCGTCAGGCTGGAGTAAAGTGGTGCCATCTCGACTCACTACAAGCTCCACCTCCCGGGTTCAAGTGATTCTCCTGCCTCAGCCTCCTGAGTAGCTGGGATTATAGGCACGCGCCACCACGCCCGGCTAATTTTTGTACTTTTAACAGAGACGGGTTTCACTACGTTGGCCAGGCTGGTCTTGAACTCCTGATCTGTGATCCACCCGTCTCGGCCTCCCAAAGTGCTGGGATTACAGGCGTGAGCCACCGCGCCCAACTGTATATAAATTTTCTTATGTCGAAATGTGTTCCTTCTATACCCAGTTTGTAAAGATTTCTTTTTTTTTTTTCCAGGAAAAAATGTTGAGTTTCATCAAATGCTTTTTCAGCATCAATTGAAAAAAATATATTTGGATTAAAGATCTAAATGTAAAACCTAAGACTATAAAATCTCTGGATAATAACCTAGGAAATACAATTCAGGGCATTAGAACAGGTAAAAACTTTATGATGAAAATGCTAGAAGCAGTTGCAACAAAATCAAAAAGTGACAAATGGGACCTAAGTAAACTAAAGAGCTTCTGCATAGCAAGATATACTATCAACAAAGTAAACAAGCAGGCAACCTATAGATTGGGAAAAAATATTTGCAACCTCTACATCTGACAGAAGTCTAACATTTAGAATCTAGATGGAACTTAAACAAACATACAAGAAAAAAATGGCAAAGGACGTGAAAAGACACTTAAGAAAAAAAAGACCTTCATGTGGCCAACAAGCACAGAAAAACGTGCTGAATATCACTATCATTAGAGAAATACATACCAAAACCACAGTGAGGTACCATCTCACACCAGTCAAAATGGCTAATCTTAAAAAAAAATAACAGATGCTGCTAAAGTTGCAGGAAAAAAGGGAACACTTCTACACTTCTGGTGGAAATATTAATTAGTTCAACCATTGTGGAAAGCAGTGTGGTGATCCCTCAAATAACCTAAAACAGAACTTTCATTTGACCCAACAGTCTCCCAACTGGACATATACCAGAAGGAATATAAACATGAAGGTTCATTGCAGCACTATTCACAATAGCATAGACATGAATTTGCCTAAATTCCTCTGGCAGAATGGGTAGAGACAAATGTGGTACATATAACCATGGAACACTATGCAGCTAAGAAAAGAATGAAATTATGTCCTTTGTAGGAACATGATGGAATTGAAGCTCATTACTCTCAGTAAACTAAATCAGGAAGAGAAAACTATATAATCTCACTTATTTGTGGGAGATAAATAATGAGAATTATTCTCTCAGGGCCTGAGCCTTCCTTATTCAAAAAATCATTCTAAAATAAATGTTCAACAAGTTGCTGATATGCCTTTAAATAGCCTATTTCATCTGGACCACTTATGTCACTCAATAAAGCAATGAGAACTATATTTAAAAGTGGGATTCTAGGATAATAAATATCTTAACAGTGAGAATATGAAGGATACGGATGGCTTTACTAATTCAATTGGTACATAACTGTGGGAGACACTATATTCCCGTCAATAAGATATTCAGAATTCAGAGCTAAGTAATGTTTCCTACATTGTGTGTGTGACTTGGCACTAGCAGATTTGAGAGTGTGGCAGGTGCACAGATCAAGTGGATCAGAAATCAATCAATATGGAAATATGACAATCTATGGATATAAACTAAAAGTTATGTAAATACTTTAATTCTATTTAATGGAGTATGAATTAAAAGCCAAACTTATTAAAAACACAAATTACTTGGTAATTATTTTGGGGTGTATGAATTTATCAAGAAATTCAAATTCCTTTTCTTATTTCAACCCCTAATTACTACTGTCAGTGGGAGGGAAAACTCAGAACCAATCATCACAGGGCAGATGTGCAAACCAAGAGTCTTCCCATTGAAAGGCCTGGGAGCTGAGGAGTCTCAGTCAGGTGCTGTTCATTATATGAAGTATCAAAATATTTTAACATTTTTTCATTGTGTGCCGTGATGATTTTAAGTTTATGTCAGAAATACATGAGAGATCATGTTCTTCCACATCCTCATTGCCATTTGGCATTATGAGAATTGTGGATTTTAACCATTCTGATAGATAAGTAGTGGTATCTCATTGCTGTTTAAATGCACATGTCCCTGATTGAAATTTTATGTTTAATTATTTTTAAATAATTTGGATGAAGTGTCTGTTCTGATATTTGGCTCATTTTGTTACATTGTTTTCTTTTGATCAGTTGTGTTTCCTTACACACTCATAATAAAAGTCATTTACCAAGGTAACAAAAAGTCATTTAATAAATATGTGATCTGCAAGTGTATTCTCCAAGTCTGTATTGTCTTTCTGCTCCTTTATCAATGTTTCTGGCAGAAAGATATTCATATAAATACATACGTGTGTGTGTGTGTGTGTGTGCAAACTTGTAACAAATAATTTTCATTTTTCATAGATCATGTTTTGGGAATATATCTAAAAACTCATTATGAAACTCACTAACAGAATTTTTTCCTTGTCTCTAATCTCAGGCCACAATCACAGCATCAGTGTTTAAATTTCACCTACTTGGCAGGAGGATAATTAACTTAAGATACTTGAAATTCTTATGCATGGGAGGTGTATTTTTTCCAATTTTCTTTATTTAATAAAATATTAATATTAGTATTAGTTCATGGATGTTTACTTTATACTCTGGAAAAGACACAATGCTACATTATTCCTTGTGTATTTCTCAAATCACCACTGCTTTTTTAAGTGCTGTGAGCTCTTTTATTTTGGATTCGGTTTCCTTAGAGCACACCCTATCCTGTTGTTTTTGAGCAATTCTCTATTTCTTGGTATTACAAAAAAATTCTAAGCTCATTTTCTCTATTATCTTTTGATACATAGTCAGTTCTTTCTGCAAGGATTACTGGGTTCCTAGTATTAAATAATTATATTAAAATACATAATTGTGGTATTGGCTGTGTGTGTTGTTAATGTTTTATCAGTGTTTCTAGGATCTCTAAGCCAACAGACCTAGCAAATGTGCATAGGTATATTAACCCATTTTACAGACATATCTAAATGATTTAAGTACCTAATATTCTGTTCCTTTATTACATCAAACCTTAGAAAACGCTGGTGCTGCACTCTACTCTGACACCATGTGGATTTTTCTAGTCTTCCTTCCTTAACTGTCCATAACCACCAACTGAAAAGGCAGGAACCCTTAAAACCATATGCCATACATTGCATTCTTTATACATTTCATTATGCATGCACAGTGCTATCAGAATTGTTAAATAGTACCACTTTAAGAAGAATGTTTATCTACTAGGATACAGTGCTTAAGTTCAATTTCTTTATATTTTACTCTTACAGAATCCCCTCATTTCCAAAGTTACTTAGGTGAGAGACTTTATGTACCACCGGCTTCAGTGAGGTTATTTCAAATATGCTGTATAATTGTTATTTGGCAGTCTGTAAAAGACAAAAGTGTAGATCATGGAAATATATGAGGATTTTCTACAAATATATAGAGAGAGTATAAATTAGGAGAATCAGGCACTGTTTACCAACAGAGAAAATTTCTTCATTATATGCATTAGTGGACACATGACACAATTTGTCAAACCTCATAATTTTATGAGACAAAATGTTAAACTAAATATACGCAACTTACAAAATTATTCCACACCTCATGAACCCCAAGATAAAATGCAGATTCTATAAAAATATCTCGGCCGGGCGTGGTGGCTCGTGCCTGTAATCCAAGCACTTTAAGAGGCTAAGGTGGGTGAAACACTTGAGTCTAGGAGTTCGAGAGCACCTGGGCAACATGGTGAATCCCCGTCTCTACTAAAAGTACAAAAAATTAGCAGAAGCATGAGAGGATCCCTGAGGGAAATCCTCTGAGGAGGCTGAAGCTCAGGAATCACTTGAACTCAAAAGGCAGAGTTTGCAGTGAGCTGAGATCATGCCACTGCACTCCAGCCTGGGCTACAGAGCAAGACTCTGTTTCAAAAAATAAAAAGACAAAATCTAATGACTTTACACAATGCGGGCATAAGACTCAGGCAACATGGAATGAAGTAACTTTCCCCTTCTGCATATAGGATATATCCACTCACAAGAGACTTTCCCTTGATCAGATTCATGTGGAACCAAGATTCCTTCCTGATAAGCAAATAATCCAGAGGGTTCTTATCTACCCTTGACTGAGAAAGATTTCCCTCTAACTCCAGTTCAGTACAGAAACACACTGCCTCTCAGTGGGCATTCACCATCAGACAATACACACACCTGTCCCCACGTGAACCTTTCCCTCAGACAAACACACACATCACCATGTTGACTCTTCCCTCAGACAAGCACACCTGTCCTCACGTGAAATCTTCCCTCAGAGAAGTACACACGTCCCCGCCTTGACTTTTCTCTCAGACAAGCACGTATGTTTGATATGTCTGACACTGAGGAGTTGTGTGGCAAAATGAGCTCAGGATAGAGGTAATTATAGACTCCAGCTCTGACATTTGTAGATGTGCATTTTTAAAAATTCTAACTGAAGACTGCAGTATTGTCAAGGACAGTGGTTTGTAGCTCTAAATCCACAGACTACAGGTAGTTGTCTGTTTCCTCTGGGAAAGATTTATTTTCCTTTGTTTAATGTATTTACATGTTAATAAACATTGATACTGTAAAGGTACCCAAACAGAGTCCAACTTAGAGAAAAAGAAACATGATGGGCAAATTAAGTCTGAATATCCAGTCCCAGGAATCCTTTGGCCCTGCCCTCCCTGGAATCCAGAGGCAGAGATGGGAAGATCCCTGCTGAGCAGCACAAACATTTCCACAATGAGAAAGACATGGAAATGAGGCCCCTCCACTGCTAATGAAAAGCAGCTCACCCCATGTCCCTGCAGGTCCTGGTGAAAAGCCATCCAAATTCATGCCCTTCCTCAACGTCCACACCATGGAGTCAGGGCTGATCTGGACTTCCCTTTTTATCACTCTCAATATCCAGGTTCCCTGTGGTTTAGGCTCAGTGGTGGCTGCTCCACATGAAGCTATTCTCATTCTCTTCCCTCTGTGTTTGCAGAAGTCCGTGTGAAGTTGTCTGAAGAAGGCAGGAGGAGAAATGCTACAGCCCTGGGGTTCTCAGATTTTTCTCCAAAGCCTCTGGATTCACTTTCATAGAAAACAGCATAAGCTTTGTCCAGCAGGCTTCATGACAGGCTTCATGGTGTGGTGGTAACAAAGTAATTCGAGTGGAAGTTCTCCCTGGTACCCTGCTTGAGTAAAAAGAAGATTAACAGTCCTTAAGGACACTCTTTCCAGAAGATTCTCCCTTAAGGTGACCAACCTGAGAGCCAAGGACAAGGACGCGTATTACTGTGAGCAAGGCAGGGTCAAAGGGTGTGAGCCCAGACACAAACCTCCATGTAGGGAGGGGCGAGGAAATTGCATTGTAAATGCTGCTCAGAACCACCAGGGGGTGCTCAGGGCACCATGGGGCACTCAAGACACTAGGGGGCATTTAGAACCCCCCGGAGGCACTTAGAATTACCAACGGGCACTGAGGACACCATGGGAGCTCAGGACACCAGGGGGCACTCAGGACATGACAAGGTGCCCAGGACAACATGGAGGGCTAAGAACCACCAGGGGGTGCTCAGAACCACCAGGAGGCACACAGGAAACCAGGGGGTTCTCAGAATTCAGGGGGTGCTCAGGAAACCTGAGGGTGCTCAGAACACCAAGGGCGCTCAGAATAGAAAGTGTGCTCAGATCACCAAGGGGGAGCTCAAGACACCAGGGACCACTGAGGACATCAGGGTGTGCTCAAGACACGGGGGGTCTCAGAATACAAGGAGTGCTCAGATCAACACGAGGTGCTCAGGAAATCAGGGGGAACTGAGAACACCAGGGGGCGCTCAGAACCACCAGGGGGCGCTCAGGACAATAGGGAGTGCTCAGAACCACCAGGGGGCGCTCAGGACAATAGGGATGCTCAGAACCACCAGGGGGCACTGGAGGAAACGCCTGGGGCGCTCAGGACAATAGGGATGCTCAGAACCACCAGGGGGCACTGAGGAAACGCTGGGGCACTCAGGATACCAAGGGGCACTCAGCACACCAGGGAGTGCTCAGAACCACCAGGGGGCGCTGAGGAAACCCTGGGGCACTCAGCACATCAGGGGGCGCTCAGAACCACCAGGGGGCGCTCAGGACAATAGGGAGTGCTCAGAACCACCAGGGGGCGCTCAGCACACCAGGGGGCGCTCAGAACCACCAGGGGGCGCTGAGGAAACCCTGGGGCACTCAGCACATCAGGGGGCGCTCAGAACCACCAGGGGGCGCTCAGGACAATAGGGAGTGCTCAGAACCACCAGGGGGCGCTCAGGACACCAGGGGGTGCTCAGAACCACCAGGGGTCGCTCAGGACAATAGGGAGTGCTCAGAACCACCAGGGGGTGCTGAGGAAACCCTGGGACACTCAGGACACCAGGGGGCACTCAGCACACCAGGGGGCACTCAGAACCACGAGGGGGCGCTCAGGACACCAGGGGGCGCTCAGAACCACCAGGGGGCGCTCAGGACAATAGGGAGTGCTCAGAACCACCAGGGGGCGCTCAGAACCACCAGGGGTCGCTCAGGACAATAGGGAGTGCTCAGAACCACCAGGGGGCGCTCAGAACCACCAGGGGGCGCTCAGGACACCAGGGGGCGCTCAGAACCACCAGGGGGCGCTCAGGACAATAGGGAGTGCTCCGAACCACCAGGGGGCGCTCAGGACACCAGGGGGCGCTCAGAACCACCAGGTGGCGCTCAGCACACCAGGGGACGCTCAGAACCACCAGGGGGCGCTCAGGACAATAGGGAGTGCTCAGAACCACCAGGGGGTGCTGAGGAAACCCTGGGGCACTCAGGACACCAGGGGGCACTCAGCACACCAGGGGGCGCTCAGAACCACCAGGGGGCGCTCAGGACAATAGGGAATGATCAGAACCACCAGGGGGCGCTCAGGACAATAGGGAATGATCAGAACCACCAGGGGGCGCTGAGGAAACCCTGGGGCACTCAGGACACCAGGGGGCACTCAGCACACCAGGGGGCGCTCAGAACCACCAGGGGGCGCTCAGGACAATAGGGATGATCAGAACCACCAGGGGGCGCTGAGGAAACCCTGGGGCACTCAGCACACCAGGGGGCGCACAGAACCACCAGGGGGCGCTCAGGACACCAGGGGGCGCTCAAAACCACCAGGGGGCGCTCAGGACAATAGGGAGTGCTCAGAACCACCAGGGGGCGCTCAGAACCACCAGGGGGCGCTCAGCACACCAGTGGGCGCTCAGAACCACCAGAGGAAACGCTGGGGCACTCAGGACACCAGGGGGCACTCGGCACACCAGGGGCGCTCAGAACCACCAGAGGAAACGCTGGGGCACTCAGGACACCAGGGGGCACTCAGCACACCAGGGGGCGCTCAGAACCACCAGGGGGCGCTGAGGAAGCCCTGGGGCACTCAGCACACTAGGGGGTCCTCAAAACCACCAGGGGGCGCTCAGGACACCAGGGGGCGCTCAGAGCCACCAGGGGGCGCTCAGGACAATAGAGAATGCTCAGAACCACCAGGGGGCGCTCAGAACAACCAGGGGGCGCTCAGCACACCAGGGGGCGCTCAGAACCACCAGGGGGCGCTCAGGACAATAGGGAGTGCTCAGAACCACCAGGGGGCGCTCAGGACAATAGGGAGTGCTCAGAACCACCAGGGGGCGCTGAGGAAACCCTAGGGCACTCAGGACACCAGGGTGCACTCAGCACACCAGGGGGCGCTCAGAACCACCACAGGGGTCTCAGGACAGCAGGGGTCTGCTCAGATGACAGGGGGCACTCAGGACACCAGGGGGTGCTCAGAACCACCAAGGGGTGCTCACAACACCAGAGGGCACTCAGGACACCAGAGGGTTCTCAGAACCACCAGGGGGCGCTCAGGACAATAGGGAATGATCAGAACCACCAGGGGGCGCTGAGGAAACCCTGGGGCACTCAGGACACCAGGAGGCACTCAGCACACCAAGGTGCGCTCAGAACCACCAGGGGGCGCTCAGGACAATAGGGAGTGCTCAGAACCACCAGGGGGCGCTCAGGACAATAGGGAATGATCAGAACCACCAGGGGGCGCTGAGGAAACCCTGGGGCACTCAGGACACCAGGAGGCACTCAACACACCAGGGGGCGCTCAGAACCACCAGGGGGCGCTCAGGACAATAGGGAGTGCTCAGAACCACCAGGGGGTGCTGAGGAAACCCTGGGACACTCAGGAACCAGGGGCACTCAGCACACAGGGGCGCTCAGAACCACCAGGGGCGCTCAGGACAATAGGGAGTGCTCAGAACCACCAGGGGGCTCAGACACTCAGCTCAGGAACCACCCAGGGGGCAGGCTGGGGCCCAGGACACCAGGGGGCGCCGGGGGCACTCAGCACAGCCAAGGGGGGGCGCTCAGAACCACCAGGGGGGACGGCTCAGGACAATAGGGAGTGCTCAGAACCACCAGGGGGCGCTCAGAACCACCAGGGGGCGCTCAGGACATAGGGAGTGCTCCAGCCCAGAACCCACCCAGGGGGGCCGGCTAGGACCACAGCTGAGGAAACGCTGGGGCACTCAGGACACCTGGGGGCACTCAGCACACCAGGGGGCGCTCAGACTCACCAGGGAGCTCAGAAACACCCGGGGGCTGGTGTAGGGAGCTCAGGACAGCAAGGGGCCTGCTCAGATCAGCAGGGGGAACTCAGGACACCAGGGGGCGTTCAGAACCACCAGGGGGTGCTCAGGACAATAGGGGGTGCTCAGAACCACCAGGAAACACTCAGTACAGCCGGGGGCGCTCAGACACAAGGGCTCCCTTAGGAGGCAGCTCCACATTAGGTCCCTGCGGAGGGTGGGGTTTCCTGTTTGAACTTGCTATTTTTTGACCTTGTAAAGAAAAGTTCTACCCCAGGATCTCTTAGCACTTCTTCCTTGTAACTCACATTTTGTCTTGTTTCATTTTTTGGTTTTGGTCACCTACAAAAACTTAACCTTAGAACAGAGATTCAACTCAATTTATAATCCTCCATATTATCACAGTAATACTAGTGATGACTGATCAGTATAATTTTAATAATAAGAATTGTGTATCCTCAATCCAAACTGTATTTTCATGCAAAGGTTTTTGTTTTCTTAGTTGTGTCAGCCACACAACTATAAATGCTTTTCTATCAATAACTCAGTATATGCATGGTGTTGACTTTCTTTTACTTTCCTCAGCTGCTTATGGAGCTGAAACACCACTTTAAGACCGGTTTTATCTCTTTTGGTTGTTCCTGGTGATCTGCTCCTCAGACTATTCATCCTCCTTCTCTTCTTCTGTCAAAGCCTTTTATTTTCTTCAGTCTTTGTGTAAGGAAGCAGTAAGTGCCTTTCCTTTATCTCTTCTATATCTGGGGTATCAGTTCGCTTCTGATGGTCAGTGCAACCAATCATGTTTACAATGTTAATAGTTCTTTTTAGAAGATACGTATTCAACTTCAGTCTCTCTTCCTTTCTCACTATTTTCTAGGGTCCTGCAGACATCACCCCTATCCCACTTTGTTTTAATCTGTTTCTGTTGACCCCAACAGTACCCATAGAACACACGTTTAGGTAGATTTGACTCCTGAAAATAGTGGAGGAGGATTCCATAATTCAGCAGTGCCTCCTGTTCTTCTCCTCAAGTAAACACAAAAGGACAGCAGTGGGGAAATTGTGAATTTTCCCCAATCCTGTGGAAACAGCCAACAAGCACTAGGAACTTCACACTCTAACACCATTAGCACATAAATCCTCAAGTAACATATTAAAATTTCCAGGTTAGTCTTTTTCTATCAGAAATGCCATCCAGTGGCAACAACCCATAATATATGGGTCTGGGTTAAAGATGAAAGTGTGACAATGCGCAGACTCTGTCTGAGGAGGAGAACACAGGGAAACTGAAAGTCAGTGGCAGAGAATAAGACAAGGACAGTGGGGAAATTTGAAGCCTCTGACGTACATTTTTGGAACAAAAGGTCTTGGCAAATCTGTTGACCTCAGATTCTTTTATCATTGGGCATTTTCAGGGTTCCTAGCTGAGAAAAAAAATGCATAAAACAAAGTGGGATGGGGTGATGTCTGCAGGACCCTAGAAAACAGTGAGGAAGGGAGAGAGACTGAAGTTGAATAAGTATCTTCTAAAAAGAACTATTAACATTGTAAATATGATTGCATGCACTTCCCAAATCTCCACCTGTGTTCTGTTTGCCTCAGATCTCTAAGAGAAAAAAGCCATAAACCTAGGCCTTGTGTCTGTGTAGGAGGCTCATTTTATAGGCTAGAAATTAGGAGGAAAGGAAAATATGTGTTATTGGTACAGTAGATACAGAGTTGGCTTTATTCTGAATGTATCTGCACCCGCGGATGTTCTCAGATGCAACATTCAACTGCAAGAGCCCAACGAAGAAACAAGGCACTCCCCAAATCCTACAAGTTTTTGTATTCACTGTGTGTTCACTGACTCAGGAAATGTGAAACTTCATAGAAGGGACTCCCTTCTGTGTCATAGAATCTTTGCTTCGGGTCTCCCTGTAGAGTTCAATAGGTTTATTAAGGCTAACCAATTCTTATAAGACGTGGTGTCAACAGTATATTGTGTCACTGAAGGAGTGACACAGCACGACACAGACACTCCATGGTGGGCTGGAGACTGTGGGGAAAAATGTCTGTGAGCCACCACGGCAACCTCACTGCAAGGCAAGGGCTTGGCTGGAGAGGGCACTCGGGAGCCACCAAGCACAGGTTCCAGCCCCAGAGCAGGTGCACAGGAGGTTGGAGAGAAGGCTCAGGGCCTGGGTCTTCCTTTGTCAGAAAAAAAACAATCTAAAATAACTCTTCAATAGGTCACTGACGTGCCTTTAAATGTCCTGCTACATCCAAAACATTCATATAACTTAAGGAAATGAAAACTATTTTTAAAGTGGGTTTCTAGGACTATAATATCATAATAGTGAGACTATAAAGGAAGGGCATGTTATTACTAATTCAAAGGGTACAGACTAGTTGAAGAAACTATATTCCAATAAATAAGAAATTCATAGGAATTTCAGACTTCAGTTTTAAGTAATGTTGCCTGTGTTGTGTGAGTGACAGGGCAGTGGTGGATCTGAGAGTGTGGCAGGTGCACAGACCTAGTGAGTCAGAAATCAATATATAAAGATGAGGATCTATGGATATGAACTGGAAATATTTAAATACTTCATGAAAATCTAATAAACGGAGTTCAAAAAACATAAGCCAAAATTATGGAGAACACAAATTAGAGAGTTCATAAAGAACTTCAAACTCCTGCTACATCTTCTGATTCCCATGGTCCATGAAATGAGAAAATCAGCTCTAATTATGCATCACAGGGCCAATCTGTAAACCAAGAGTGTTTCTCTTGAAGAGCCTGGGGGATCAGACACCAGGCAGGTGCTGGAGACACTGTTTCCAGAGCACACAGCAGATCTCAGGGCCTGCTGGACACTCAAGTGGGACATCAGCAGTAACTTTCTGAGAGTCACCAGTGAGCTGTGCTGGTACCTGATGGGTCCAGGAAAAGACCAAGGCACCTTCTCAGTGTCATGGAGAATGATGGTCCCAAAAATGATCCAGGTGGTCTCTATGCTAATCAAATGCAGGTTTGCAGTGAGGAGCCTGTTCTATCTGGGCTTATTCTTTAGTGAAAGGACCTCTGCCCACAAATGTTTGTAAATGGAGCAGGGTGTGCATTTCCTCCAGCAGGATTAGGGCTTGGACCATCAGCATCTCACTCTTGTGTAGCTGATGTGTCACTTATCTTCCCTTTCTTATCATGGATCAGGCTTTGAGCTATGAAATGCTCTGTCTTATGAATATGCAAATATGCTGATATCCACTGCAGTAAATATGTTCTGTGCTCTGAGAACATCACTCAACAACTGCATCCAACCTCAAGAGAAGCCCCTGAGAGCACAGTTTCTCACCATGGACTTGACCTGGAAGATCCTCCTCTTGGTGACAGCAGCCACAGGTAAGGGGTCCCCAGGTCTCATTCTTGAGAAGCGAATTGAGTCCAGTCAAGGGGACGTTCATCCACTCCTGTCTTCTCTCCACAGGTGCCCACTCCCAGGTGCAGCTGGTGCAGTCTGGGGCTGAGATTAAGCAGCCTGGGGCCTCAGTGAAGCTCTCCTGCAAGGCTTCTGGATATACCTTCACTAGCTACTACATGCACTGGGTGAGACAGGCCCCTGGACAAGGCCTTGAGTGGATAGGACTGATCTCCCCTTACAATGGTAACAAAGGCTACGCACAGAACTTCCAGGGCAGAGTCACCATAACTACGGACACGTCCACGAGCACAGGCTACATGGAGCTGAGCAGCCTGAGATCTGAGGACACAGCCGTGTATTACTGTACGAGAGACACAGTGTGAAAACCACATCCTGAGAGTGTCAGAAACCCCAGGAAGGAGGCAGCTGTGCTGGCATGGAGGAGATGACAAAGATTATTAGATTGAAGACTTTCTTAGAAAATGACATTAAGACATTAAAGAAAATGACCAATATCAATGTGTATTTGAGAAATTTCAGTTATTTGAGATACTTATCATACAAAATTTATTCTGTAAGTAAATTTCAGGGATTGGAGAATGAATAAAATTAACAAATCTGATACAGAACTTCCTCTGAATCAATCTTTGCAAACATCAATTTCTGAATCAATGTTGGAAATATTTTGAAACACAAAAGCAAGTTCACATTTTAACTCTTTTATCTCTAGTTAAGAAATGCCAAAAAATCTCATGTTGTGCATGTAACATTTTGAATTCCCACCGACAGTGCATGAAATTTCTTGGTTTTCCACATTCATATTGCCATTTATCATCATGAGAATTGTGAGTTTTAACCATGTTAATAGGTGAGTAGTGATACCTAATTTTTATTTAAGTGCACATGTCCCTAATAAAAAATTGTATTTAACAATTTTTATATAATTTTTGGTGAGATGGCTCTCCTGATAGGTGGTTCATTTTTGACTGCATTGTTTTCTTTTGATTAGTTGTAAGTTTACTTGTATGTTGATTATAAAAGTCATTTAACAAATTAAAATAATTCATTTAACAAATATGTGACTTGGAAGTATTTTCTCCAAGTTTGTGGTTGCTTTTTACTCCCTTATCGGTGGGTATTGCAGAAAAATATGTGTGTGTGTGTGTGTGTGTGTGCACAAATTTAGATAAAAAACATAAAAAAATTATTCATTCATAGATCATGTATTTGGCATTATATCTGGAGTCTCCTTATAAAATACACTAATACTGATTATTTTTTACCATGTCTCTTATCTCAATCATGAGTGTTTAAACTTCACCTACTCCTCCAATCAAGGAGGACTCTCCACCGGAGATATTTGGAACACTTCTGTAAGGAGATGTGTTCTTCCCATTATTTCTTTACTTAATCATCTATTAATATCCTTATTGGTTTATGGATGTCTATTTCATAATCTGAAGAAGATCCATGCTGCATTATTCATTTTAGTGTTCAAATCACCACAGCTTTGTTAGGTGCTGGGAGCTGAATTATTTTGGATCCTGCATCCTTACAGCACAGCTCATCCTTTTGTTTTTGAACACTTCCCTGTTTCCTGGTGTTACAATAGATTCTAAGCTTATTTTCTATGTTACCTTTTTTTTGCACATAGAATCAGCCATTTTTCCAAAGATTGCTTGTTTCTAATTTTAAAGAATAGTATTAAAATAAAATATTGTGATACCGGGTATGTTAGTGTGGTATAAGTACTTCTAGGACCTCTCAACCAATTGGCCTAGTAAATGTGCATGTTTATATGAACCTGTGTTTATGGACACATCGAAATTATTTAGTATCTAATCTTTTGTAACTTTATTACATTAGAAATGAGAACACAATGGTCTCTCCACCTAACTGTGCTGCCACACGGACCTTCCTAACCTTCCTTTTTTGACTGTCCATAACCACCCACTGCAAAGTGAGGAATCCCATCCCACCATCTGCCTTTTTATTAATTAGCTGCACAATTTCAGGGCACATGCACAGCAGCATCAGAAATGTAAAGCTGTACCCTTGTAGGAAACAGGTTTATCTACTAGATAGAGTGCTTATGTGTGATTTCTTTACAATTTAAGCTTACAGAACCTACTTATTTTTCAAAGTTACTTACGTCAGCAACTTCATTTTCCACTTTCTTAGGTCAAGTCATTTCAATTACACAGTATAGTTTCATTTCTTTAAATTATGTAAAAGCCAAAACTATAGTCAAGTAAACAGACAGGATATTCCAGGAATTTAGAGAGTTGGTATAAAATAAGTAACACAGGCACTGTTTAAGAAGAGTTAAGACTATTCTGGAGATATGCAATGGTTGAGACATGACACAAATAATTTGTCCAAGCTCATATTTTTGTTATGGAAAATATAAACCTAAATATATACAATTAAAATACATTTAGCAGTTCATTAACTTCGGGATTAAATACACACTGTATAAAATTACCTTAATAATGTATTTGGGAGTGTTATGAGATGTTATGAGATGCAACAAAGAATAGAGTAACTTTCCTCGTTTGCATATATGATGCTTCCATTCACTAAAGACCTTTAATTAAAAAATATCAACTTTCTATGTGACCCAGGTTTTTTCTTCCTGACAAGCAAACAACCGAGAGCATTATTTTCTTTTCTTGTTTGAGAAAGAATTTCCCCAAACTTCAGCTCAGTTCAGGCATACACTGTCTCTGAAAGGAGATGGGTACATGCACCTGTCAACATGTGGACTCTTCTGTCAGACAAACACACCTTTACTCATGAGGATTCTTCCCTCAGACAAACACACATGTCCCCACATGGACTCTTTCCTAAGACCACCACATCTGTCCTTATATTTACTCTTTCCTCAGGAAACAGATATTTCCTCATGTGGACTCTTGTCTCAGACAAGCAAACATGTCTCCATGTGAACTCTTTACTTAGATAAATACGCATATTTCCACATTGACTCTTTTGTGACAAAATAATCTCAAGATAATGATAATTATTAACCCCAGCCCAGACAAAGTATAGATCTTCATTTTCTTCATTGTAACTAAGCTTTGCCTCATTGTCAGGAACAGTGGTTGGCAGCTCTAAATGCACTGATTACAGACAGATGTCCATTTCCTCTGGGAATGTTTTTCTTATGTTCTTACTGGACTTATTTGTCGATAATGTTTGCTGCTATGAAGATACCTGAACAGTATCCAATTTATAGAATAAAAAAGAGTAAGGAGTAGATTAACCCTGTGCATCCAGACCCAGGAATCCTTTGACCCTTCCCTCCCTGAAATGCAGACACAGAGGATGGATGAGCAATGCTGAGCAGTGCACCCATGACCACAAAAAGAAAGACATGGAAATGTGTCCCTTCCCCTCCTCGTGAAAGGCAACTCATCCCCTCCTCCTTCAGGCCCTGGTGAGGAACCACTCCATGTCTGTGCCCTTCCTCAGTGTCCGCACCATGGGGTCTGCACTGATCTGGGCTTCTCTATCATCACCTTCAATCTTAGTGTCCCTTATAAATCAGGTCCAGCTGTGGCTGCTCCACACAGGGCTGTTCTGTCTGTTCTCTCTGTGTTTGCAGAAGACCTGTGTGAAGCTCACTGGTGGAGTCTCGGGAAAAATTGTACACCCCAGCAGTTCTCTGAGCCTCTCCTGCACAGCCTCTGGATTCACCTTCGCTGACTGCAGCATCAGCTTGGTCCAGCAGGCTCCAGGATCAGGATTGGTGTGGGCGGCAACAGGGAGAAATTCAAGAGGAAGTTCTCAGTGGTGCCCTCCATGAATACAAAGAAAGTTCATAGTCCCTAGGACACCCTTAGGTGCATGGTTTCACTGACATCTTTACTCCGTTCATCACGTTTGTTCTGTAAATCACAACAAATGGTGCATTCTTCATCTATTATACGTTTGTTAAGTCTTTTTTGTGTCTTTTAAAAAAACTGGTCACTTCGTTCTATGTAATATCCCTGTTAAGTCCTAAAAGTGTTTTTTTGATGTTGACTTTGTCTGCAATTTACACAGCTACTATAGCTTTCTTTTGGTTCATGTTTTCATAATCCATGTTTTCCCATCTCTATCTTTTCTATTTGTGAATATGTAGGATAACTTTCTTGTACAAAGCTAACAGTTGGGTCTTGTTTTTTTTTAAATCAGCTATAACAAATTCTATTTTAAAGGTAATATTAATTTTTCTGTTATTTTTTGTTTAAATTAGCATTTTATAATGATGTTTATTTCTCTATTAACAGATTATTTAATTCATGTTTTATAAATATGGTATTGGTTACCATAAGGTTTACAGTAAGAATTGTAAATAATTGGATTCTAATGCAGACACTGAGATGGCCTTGATGTGAAATACAGAGATAGTGTAACTGTGTGCTTTGAATTCCTCCTTCTCACAACACTTTCTTGTTTATCCTCAGTTGGCACTTACATATAAAATATAACATATATTTTTATCGCTTTATATAGTTATATGTTATAGCAATTACAAAGATAATAACTGCACTTCCTCTTGATTTTTCCTTTTTTTACAATCTTAATTTCTTTGTATAGATCTATGTTTTGAGTGCATAGCACATGGCTACTCACAGAGAAACTTTGCTAACATGTGCCCTGAAACATAAATCTGCTGACAAATTGCCTCAGGATTTTTTTTAATAACATAGTTTTATTTGCTTTCACATTTATATAAAAATGAAACACATGTATAATTTCAGTTTGCATTTCACTTGTAATTTATTTTCTTGCATTTAATTTTTTCTTGTAGGAGATGATCACATATTACATTCTGCTGGGCCTTTATTAACCACGTTTCTGTGAGTCTACTCAGGGCTGAATTTCAAGTGTATGGTTGCAATGGCTATCACAGTTGAAGTCAACTTCTCCTGTTCACAAGAGCTTCAAGTTCCTCCAGCGATACCTGATTTTGTGTCCCTGTTTGGCTTTGGGTTTTCACATTTCATTCCCCCCAGAGAGCCTCTTTCAGCTGTGGCAGGTGCATCCTGAAGGGTTTATTTTTTGTAGTTATTCATGGTTTTTGTTAATGAGGTCAGAGTAGGATTAATTTCTCAATTTTTACATTATAATCCTTAGTATCTAATTTCTAAATAAAATTCAGAAACTGAGTCAACATATCAAGTATCCATTATTTAGTGCATTGTTAAACAATTTGAGAAATATTAATGTAGCAAAATACAATGAACCGTTTAAATCAAGGCATGCCTCATTCACATACGAACATGAGGATATTATAAAATAATTGTGGTGAGTGAAGGAAGCTGAAGAATTCACAGTAAATCTCAAGTGATTTTTTTTTTTTTTTTTGAGACGGAGTCTTGCTCTGTCACCCAGGCTGGAGTGCAGTGGCGCAATCTCGGCTCACTGCAAGTTCCAACTCCCGGGTTCATGCCATTCTGCTGCCTCAGCCTCCCATGTAGCTGGGACTACAGGCACCCGCCACTGCACCCAGCTAATTTTTTGTATTTCTAGTAGAGACGGGGTTTCACCGTGTTAGCCATGATGGTCTCGATCTCCTGACCTTGTGATCCGCCCCTCTTGGCCTCCCAAAGTCCTGGGATTCTCAAGTGATTTTATTTGTATGAATTGTAGAAGATGCAACTATTGTAAATTAACATGAAGAAGATCTGAATTTTCTGAGAAAAGGGTGGTAAGAGTAACAAGGTGGTGAAATGAAATTACACAGAAATGAGAGAAAGAAAATAGAGGTTAATTGAATTGCTAACAGCATGATTGAAGTGCTGACTCAATGACTGCACCCATACACCCACATTTCCCAAATGCTGCACTATCAATTTGTTTCCATTATTAATTGATTTTAATAAAGCAGTAACAAAAAAGAATATATTGGCTGAGAAAAAAACAAGAAAAAGATAAATA